TATTCTGAATGCACCAAAGACATAAACACCCCACCTACATGCGTCAATTTCAATGAAAGTCATCCTGCCAATTATCGAGGTTGTAAAATTTATAAGCAAATTAAAATTAAAAATAGCTCCAAACGTTTCAGGAACGCTCCTAAGCATATAATGCAATCGAGCAATTTAAACGATAATAATACTAAAACCCCAGCCTATACTGTCGATCACATAAATACCCAAAATCAAGACCCAATCCAAATAACTCAAAACTTAAGCAACACTCCAACCTACGCCGAAAAAACAAAAAAAAAAAACTAATCAACATCAAAAAGAAGAAATCAACAACTCAAATATCACTAACGAGCTTATAAAGTCATTAATGCCACTAATCAGCTCACTCATCGCACAGATTATTAAAAAAGTTATCGAAAATCTACCAGTTCTATTAAATAATATCAATGTCGTTTAATAATTTAAATAATATTAAGCTAGTTATCATTAATTGGAATGCCAATGGAATTAAGCAAAATCGTAACACATTTGCAGCGTTCTTATCAGCACATAATGTCGATATCGCGTGCGTAAGCGAAACACATCTAATCGCTAATGACAAAATTAAATTTAATGGGTACACCACTTATCGCAAAGATAGGCTAGCGGTACGACCATCAGGCGGTGTCGCTATAATAATTAAAACAAAAATTAAACATCAACAATCATATCTACCTACATTGAAAACTCTTGAAGCAGTAGCAATATCTATTTCAATAAATCACTCAATCACAACAATAATTAGTGCTTACCAGTCACCTAGCTTTCAAATGTACACAAATTACTTTGACAAAATATTAAATAGCTATCAAAGAATTTTGCAAGTTGGTGATCTAAACTGCAAACACACGACTTGGAACTGCAAAGTTACAAATGCAAACGGACGTAAATTATTCAATTATCTCTCAAACAGTTCCACGATAATGAGTGCTCCAGATACACCTACCTACTTCCCATATGATCAAAATAGAAATTCTGATATATTAGACGTAATTTTACAAAAATCGATTCGTTTTTCCATTCACCAAGAACCACTATATGAACTCGATTCAGACCATTTGCCTGTAAAAATTACAATAGATGCATCTCTATAATTTTCAACACCCACCCGTAAACTTATCACCGGCAAACCAGATTGGGAAAAATTCAAACAACTCAAAATCTAATTATTCCCAAAAATATTTTGAACATTCCCAACGCAGATAATGCGGTAAAACATTTACGCGAAATCATTTGCCAAGCGGCCGACACATGCTCAGCAAAACAAAACACGATAACAAATTACAGTCCTAATCAACTTCCCCATACAATATTAAAATTAATCAAATCAAAACATCAAACGAGGAGACTCTGGCAAATACATAGACTACCACAAGATCGAAAAAAATTAAATTATCTAACAAAAAAGGTTAAAAACTCACTCGAAGAACACAGAATTAACTGCTATTAAAAATATTTATCTACAATCCACCCTGCTGACTCTAATTTATGGATTGCAACCAAAAGATTAATCAAACCGAATACCAATGAAATCCCCCCCTTAAAAGCGGGAGATGCTTATCTAAATACAGAAGCTGATAAATGCGAATTGCTTGCTCATACTCTCGAAAATGCATTCACTTTAAACAGCTCACAAGATAACTCTACAAACTATCTAGTTCAACAAAAACTTAATGAGCCTGATATTCAACCACAAAATATTTTACCATACTCAAGCCCTAACGAAATCTTAAATATAATCAAAAATTTACCAAAAAGAAAATCACCCGGACACGATTTAATCACTAATACTATCCTAAAAAATATTCCCAAAAAAGCGAAAACATATTTATCCATCTTATTCAATTCAATAATAAAAATTGGATACTTTTCTACAGAATGGAAATTGGCCACAATAATACTGTTCAGAAAACCAGGTAAAGATAATTCTAATCCCAGCAATTACAAACCTATAAGCCTACTGTCCTCAGTTTCAAAAATATTTGAAAAAATTATTCACTTAAGGCTTACTAATTACTTAAATGCAATAAATGCTATCCCTCATTTCCAATTTGGATTCAAATCAAACCACTCCACTGCTCAACAACTTCTGCGACTAACGGAGCATATAAATGATGGATTTGAAAAAAAACTACATACAGGGGCACGTTCGTGAACTTAGCGGCAATCATGTAACAGATTTCAATTAAACCTATCCAACAATTTTGTTGGACGTTTGTTGGACATTGTTGGAAAGGTTTTACAATTTGTTGGACCGTCATTAAAAAGTTATAAACATTTTTCCAAAACAGCCGCTAAGTTCACACTAACGGCCAACATTAAATCAAACACATAATAAACTATACAAAATTGTTCTCCACGATTTGTTGGACATTATTGGAAAGGTCCCGCCATTTGTTGGAACTCTTTATTTTATACGAATTTTTGAAAAAATGCACTTGGACAACTTTTTTAAAAGTTCCAAAAACCATCCAATACTGTTGTAAACCATTTTTCGGACGTTGTTGGAAAGGTTCTACCATTTGTTGGAACTCTGTTTATTTTATACAAATTTTTGAAAAAATGAACTTGGGCAACTTAAAAGTTCCAAACGGTTCTATATGGTTTGTTGGACGTTGTTGGAAAGGTCCCGCCATTTGTTGGAACTCTGTTGATTTTATACGAATTTTTGAAAAAATGCACTTGGACAACTTTTTTAAAAGTTCCAAAAACCATCCAATACTGTTGGCGACAGTTTGTTGGACGTTGTTTTAAAGCTCTCGCCATTTGTTGGAACTCTGTTGATTTTATACGAATTTTTGAAAAAGTGCCCCTCGGCCAACTTTTTCAAAAATTCGTATAAAACAAACAGAGTTCCAACAAATGGCAGGACCTTTCCAACAACGTCCAACAAACCATATAGAACGGTTGAACCAAGATTATATGGTAAGTATGAAAATGATTGATTTTGAAATGGATATAATAAGGGTGCAGGAGTGCTTTGATGTACATTTGACGGAGTTTGATTACATTGGAAAACGGAAGGTTGAGCCGGTTGAGTTTCTTTGGTTTGTGTAGAAATATTTTTAAAAAACTGTAATGTTTGTAATCGAAAATCCATTTTTTGGTCACAATTTAATTTTTTATAGTCCGGTAATAAGGAAAATAAAAAGGCTTTATCTGGATCAGAATTCACTTTGTCTTCTTCTGAAGCGGAAGCGGATAATGAATTTAAAAGCGCTCTCTGAAATTGTGTCATTTGGTTTTTTGTTTTTGACTTTATCGTTGAGGTTTTAGAATTCTGTTTGTAGTAATTTGAAGTCGTCATTATCACCTCATCCCCTTCATATCCATCTGAGTCAACATTGAGGTAAGAATCCCCTTCTTCGTTTTCTTCGTGTTCTTCAGTAAATTTACCCGTCGTTCTATATAAATTATAAAGTAATATTTTTATTTTTTTTTTACAATAAAATTCAATTCAATACCTATAAATTTATTTTAATATTAATCGAAACTATAAAATTATAATATTGTTTTCTTATATTATAAAAGTTTATATTTCAAAAATTAATAAAAAAAACAAAAGACACGCAATTAAAATTGTAAAATAAGCCCTTAAAATAGAAAATAATGGGTAAATGTCGAAATATGCAAAGATATATGAACTGAAAAAAATTCTTTATTTTAATATTTTTATTAAAATCTTTATATATCATAAAATAAATTTTGAACTGACTTCATATAGGTCAGATTAGGTTAAATACGATCAACCAGAATAAATATGCAAATGCATACGTGCAAATGCATTTGTATAATCCACGCTCTAACCATCACCCTTCTGGGCAGTAAAAATGCCCCGGTTTCCTACCTCATCATTTTTCTGATGGAAAAGTGTATATAGTGATATAGGTGTAAAATTTAGTTTTTTTTGGGGAGGGGGATTTTTAAAATGTTTTGGTAATTTGTATTTTTTTGGTCATTAACTTCCGAGCCCTATATCGATGACTAAGTACTATAAAAATAAATTTAATAATATAGTAATGTATAATAATATGACTATTATAATTATTGAAAATAGTATTTAAACATCGAATTAAAACAATATTTTTTTTACCTTCTTTTTTGAATTGTATGCTGTAAAAATGAGAGAGATTCTGCATATACATATTTTCTTTTTTTAGCGCTGTCGCCACTTTTCGCCTGGTTTAAAAACTTAGAGTAGTGGTCACGAATATGCCGCCATTTGGTTTTCATTTCTTTAACTATAATTAATATAAAAATAAATACCTAATTAAAGAATTTTAAATTAATTTGAATACCTATATGTCAATTGTTTTATTATTTATCTATTAATTTATATAATTTACTACATTTTAGATTCTGAGCGGATCGATGATGATCTATATTGATTTTACAATGATGTGTGTTTTTATTTTTTTTCTGTTTGTCATCACCTTTTAGGATAGTAAAGATAGCTTAGATTTTCTTCAAAAGTAACTTTTCTGATAGGAACTAGTTGGTACTTTAGGGGGGTCAAAAGTAAAAATTTCTCAGTAGTTTACAAAAACGCCGTGAAAAACAAAAGAAAAATCAAGGAAAAACCGCGGGAATTTTTACGCAAAATTAGTTTTTGAGAAAATCGATTTTGGTTTTTAGTCTAACTCTAAAACAAATTACCATAGGGGTCGGTAAATGCAATTTTAACTGAATGTTTGTATTAGCATTTTCTATATACCATAATATTTTGACTTTTTTTGAGCTGTTTACGGACATTTTCAGTTTAAATTTTTTTTAGGTTTTTTCAGTAATTTATTAAACATGTATTCTAAAAATCCTACACAATAAATTTTTTTTTTCATTTAAGATATTTATCAACTGGCACCTATTTCGCTGCATTGAAATTTGATTTTCGAGTTGGAAGAAGTACGATCGGAATAATAGTTAAAGACACGTGTCAAGCATTGTGGACAGTTTTACAGCCAACAGAGATGCCTGTGCCAACCACGAATGACTGGTTAGAGATTTCAAATGTATTTTATGTTAAAACAAATTTTCCGAATTGCCTAGGCGCTATTGACGGTAAACATATCCGATGTAAAAATCCTAGTAATTCTGGATCATTGTTTTTCAATTACAAAAAGTTTTTTTCTGTGGTACTCATGGCTATAGCCGATGCAAATTTACAATTTATCACAATCGATGTCGGGTCTTATGGTCGAGAAGGGGACTCCAATATATTTAAGGAATGCCCATTCGGAAAAATGTTGTATGGAAAAAAACTTAATCTTCCGGAACCAAATCCTTTACCAAATACAAACAACAATCCACAGCCATTCGTTTTTATTGGGGATGAAGCTTTCGCCCTACATACAAATTTATTAAGGCCATATCCAGGACGTAACCTAACTGATATTCGACGTGTGTTTAATTATCGATTGAGTAGAGCAAGGCGCACAGTCGAGTGTGCTTTCGGAGTACTTGCAAATAAATGGAGTGTGTTGCATACTCCCATACAAGTGGAACCTGAATTCACTGACGTTATAATTAAAGCATGTTGTATATTACATAATTTTGTGCTTAAAAGAGACGGAATTAATTTTGAAGAAGCTGAAACCCATAGCCTGGATGATATAGATGCTCGTGGAACAGGAACTCGTTCAGAAGGCATTGAAGTGAGGGATTACTTTGCCGATTATTTTATGGGCCCTGGTGCCGTAGATTTTCAGTATAAAGTCTTATAAACTGGTTATTTAAAAAGACACTTATTATTTTATTGTTTTATTAAATATTATTTGTACATTAATAATAATTAACATTATCAATAATAAATTAAAAATTAAGACTAATAATATACATATTATAATATTAAATGATATTGAAAATTATATTGCAAATTACGCCTATGGTAAAAATGTAAAATATAACATGATACTATTCTGCTTACCTTTATTTTCTTTTTCAGATTCAGGCTGTTCTGTCCAATCTGGATACATGGTTTCCCCGATATTTAGCCAACTTTTTTGTTTGATGAACTTATCCATGTATTCTTTACTACCCATTTCCCAAATAGACGGGTTACTTTGAATACAGGATATGAATTTATCGGTATCAAAAACCATTTTTTTTAGTATTTAAATATTTTCAAAATATATAAAATTATAAATATTAAAAAAACGCAGCGGCCAAAACGCACAGTGTGGCATACACGATATAAAATAATGTGTTTTGATTACACGTCCTGCCGATTTGTTTCCCGCCCGACCGCAACATGTTGCGGTCGGTCAGCGGCAGGAATCGACAGGTCCCGACAAAACGTTCTAATGTGGCACCTATGATTAGAAACTATGCAAGTTGTTGTTCCGGTCGACCGGATGCGTTTTACCCGGACCCGCCAAAACGCATAGTGTGGCTAGGCCCTAAAACTATGGGACAAAAAGGTAACTCTAAAATGGTAACACGGTTGCTGGTAAAATGGTTGCTGTATTGTACACAAAATAAATATTTTTCTATCGACACAAGGAATATAAAAAAATCACAGCAACATAAAGGTATACAAATATGATAATACTATTATGGCCCTTCTGGCCCAACAAACTATAATAAATAATAACTTGCCAGCCATTTGACCTATGGCTGGTATATAAATATAATAAATAATAAAAAATAAAAACTCACAATTTGTCGGTGCTCTGCTGGCCAGCCGCTACTTAAGCTATATAATAATGAAAATAATAATAACACAACAATGAATACAATGCCCGGGGCGATTAGCGTACGCGGCAAAAATGATATCAGTGGCGATTCGCG